GGCGTCGCTTTCCTTCTTGGAGGTGTTGTGTTGTTCGCGGTGGTTCGAAGCCTCGGGTTGTAGTGGTTTGTCTCTGGTGGGCGTAGCGGTGGCGGGTCATCCGCGCTTGTCGAGCTGCCGTTGTTGGCATTTGCTTCTTCTTCTTTTTCTTTTTGGCTTGTTGTGCTGTTCGCCCCAGCAATCCTGTATCGGTGTTGGTTGCTTTGGAATACAAAGCGGGGGGAAACCCTTTTTCGGTAAAAAAATCATTACGAAAGTAGTTATATTTTATTTGTAACCACAATATGTATGACTGTATTTTATTTTATGAGCATTATGTTTCTCAACAAAAGTTGTGGATACACTTACGGTTGAATTTCTATACTGTCCAAATTTGAGGTCTTTTTTTTTGAGAATCGAATTTCTGGTCTCCAATAGCGAACGTTCAAGCCTATTAAAGTTAGGCCTGCTCCTCCGCCAAGGCCCAGTTCTTCTTTCTTCCATGAGGAGAAGAACGGGAGCTCCTGTTCGGCGCCTTAGAGAGCTCCTCGCTGGCGCCTTATGCGCCAGTAGAGGAAACGAGCGCCCGTGCGCCTGGCTATGTGGGCCGGCCCAATAACGAGCCGACGAGCTCGCGCACGATGAGCGCTTCTCTGCTCGATCTTTTCGTTACTGAAGAGAAAAAAACAGCTCGATCCTTTTGTTGTTGATTTCGAGAAAAAAGTCAGAATTTCAGAAAACAGAATTCAAAAAACAAAATGCTCATGGATCTAAAAGGTTCACTGATTTTCAAAAAAAGTTCATCAAACTTTTAAAAAAGTTCATGGATTTAAAAAAAGTTCATGAATTTGAAAAAAAAAGTTCATTGATTTGAAAAAAGTTCACAAAATTTTATAAAAATTTCATTGATTTTGAAAACAGTTCATCAATTTTGAATAAAGTTCAACGATTTTGAAAAAAAGTTCATCAATTTTGAAAAAGGTTCATCTACTTTCAAGGAAAAAGTTCATGAATTTTTAAAAAGTTCATCTACTTTTGAGAAAAAAGTTCACGAGTTTCTTTCGCAATTATTTTCACGAATTTGGAGAAGGAAAGAAAAAAAGAACAGAGAGAAAAACGAAGAAAGAAGAAGAAATAGATTAAACGGTGGAACAACTCACCATATCAACACGTAAGGTCTGTTGTCGGGTTGGTGTTGGCGTCGTATTCTTTAGAAGAACGTCGTGAGTTCGAATCCTGCCATGCACGCCCTTTTTGCAGTTTACAGAAGTCAGAAAAAAGGCGGAAGGAAGCGGGATGGGCCGGCCCGTTATCCAACCAAGCTGTACAGGAGGGGTATGCGCCCTGTACCAAATGCACTGTATTCGGCGCTTAAGGCGCCGAATAGGATTTGGCGGCGCCTTAAGCGCCCGAACAGGTAGCTGGCGCCCACTACACCTCTTGGTTGGGCCGGCCCGCAAAAGAAAAGCGCAGCGAACAAAAGACCAGAAAAATCACAAAATCGTTGTTGACAGGATTCAAACTCGAAACGCCTCATCGTTATTCAAGCCGGGCTAACCACTAGAACAATCAAAGACTTGTGATTTGCTATAACGTTCACTTTATAAGAACAAGTGTGACCGCGCTATTTACTAATAAGTCGGATTTGTTTAAACGTGAAATCGAAAAAGTTCATAAACTTCACAGCAAAAGTTCATCATTTTAGAAGAAAAAGGCTCACAAACTATAAAAAACTATATCACTTTTTAAGAAAAGTTCACAAACTAAAAAAAAGTTTATCGATTCTTAAAAAAGTTCATGCAATAGTGAAAAAAGTTCATCAATATTGAAAAAGGTTCATCGAGTTTGAAAATTAGTTCACCGATTTTGAAAAAGTTCACAAATTTAAAGAAAAAAACATCAATTTTGAAAAAAGTTCATCGGATTTGAAAAGAGTTCATCAGATTTGAAACGGTTCATTGAATTTGAAAAAGTTCATCGTATTTGAAAAGAGTTCATTGAATTTGAAAAAAGTTCATCCGATTTGAAAAGAAGTTCATGAGATTTAAAAAGGTTCATTGAATTTGAAAAAAGTTCATCAATATGAAGCGAATGTTCACGGATTTGAAAAGAAGTTCATCGAATTTGATATAAGTTCATCAAATTTTAAAAAAGTTCATATATTTGAGAAAAATGTCGACGGATTTGAAAATTTCATCGAACAAAGAGGAAGGAGATATTTTTTTCCTGTTCGAACAAAGAATAAAAAACAGAAGAAAAAAACCATTTAGAATAAGAAAAGGACGAAAAAAGAAAAAAATGGAAAAAAGGAAAAAGCTAAGAAGAATACGTGGAAGAAGCACTACCTGAGCAGATAACACGCGATGGTGGAATGGTTAGTGCATCGCGTTGCCTACCGCGAAGTTGCAGGATCGAATCCCAGTGAACTCTCCTTATTTTTTGGGTGTACAGCAGGAAAAAAAAAAGATGGGCCAAGCCCAGCTAAAGCGGCTGCAGGCGCCCGTTAGCAGAATACACATTAACGGGCGCCTGCAGCGCTAAATAGGAAATCCCGAGGAGAACAACTCCACCATTGGGCTCAAATCCGGCCAGCGAGAAGCTTGCCCACCCGCCTGCAAGCCGAGGAGCTCGAAAAAAGAAGCTCGGCCTGGCTGGCAAGCGACGCTCGATCTGGATGGCGCGCCGCTCGATTTGGCTCAGCCGGAGCTCGACGTATGCGAGCTTTGGGAAGTCCGGGCCTGTCTCCGCCCACTCTGACGGCCTGGAGGAAAGATAGAGCTTGGATCGCACGGGTCGTGTCAGAGTTGGATTGCGGTCAAGGAGAGTGCGTACTCCAACTCCAACTCCTCCTACTTCAGTTCCAATTCCGTAGGTCCTTCTTCCTCCTCTTTATTCATGCTCGAGCAAGCGACGGAGAGACCGAGTGCAGGCAGACATGTTTCGTCCGGCATTGAGCTCCGTGGGGAGCTACCTCAAACCACATGCTATGGCAATAGCTGGGTGGTGAACTGCTGGTGTTGGACTTTGGTACTATATGAACCTAGCTCGAATCCAATGGGTGTGATGGTGGCTCTGTAAGTAAGGCCTTCACATATATATACAAGCCAATGGACTTTTGAGCGAATCCTCGTATCCATACAAGGCTTGATGGATACAAGGCTTGCAGGAGTAAATCGGGTTGCATGCGGAACAAAATAGCAGCCACACCGACAACAAGGATATCAGGATTTCGACTTGTCGACCCGACCGAGGATGCACCGAAGAAAGGGATAGCAAAACAACCCGTGGTAATCGCTTTGGAGAGTTCCGATGATTTTCCGAAGTACAAAGGAGGCATCATCGATTATAAAGCTGGTGAGACCAACTGCTTGCATTTTGTCATGATTGTCGGTTATGGCGTAGATCCCGATGGCGTCAAGTACTGGCGC